ACTGCGAGGGGACACGGCCGCTGAAGGCCGAATATAAATGTTGCTCATCAGATTGCAGAGTTTGGACAGAATGGTGAACACGATATTCTCTGTGAAACTAAAACAACTGCCACAATTGGACAAATTTATGGTCCGTCTTGTCTGACTAGCCTCAGATTGAGGGACAGAAAGAGGAGACAGGGATAGAGTGGGGTGGAAGCTGCAGTTCTGAGGCTTCAAATGAAAAACTTGAAGAAAAAAGGATTTCTTTTTCTCCACCGATCGTTCATGTTTGTTGATTATTTTGTCAATGTCGTTGATGAAAACACTTTTTCAAAGATTTCCACAGTGTTTGTGCGACACTGCGTACAGTAGTTATCACAACTCCCTCAGCTTTGAACCATTCTTCCCTGAAACATGTTCACAGAAAAATACGACTTAGTGATGACAGCTGTGCCATTTGGAAAGGTCGGTCAGACTCGGAACACTGCAGATCCACTGTATGTTTTCTGCACTACATGACTTTCTGTACTGGATAACATAACGTATGCTATTTTAAATTAACGTTGTAAAGTTAAAAAAAAAAAAAAAACGTGTCGTGTATGAACGCAGGCGTCTGTAAACTGTAGACAGGCTGGTGCCCGTCCCAGAAGAATCAACCACCTTCCTGTAAACAAGATCTCAGTCCTGGAGCCAAAAAATGAGATGTTGGTGAGACACTCACTCTAACCAGAGCGGTGAAGAAACTAAACAATGAATAAAAACAAACCCCCGTGGAAAGTCCGACTTTTTTTTTAGTCTACACAAACAAAGAAAGTATTCTTTTTGAAGTGAGAAAAATCAAACCCTTTTGATCATCAAGCTCCACCACGTAGAAATACTTTCAAAGTGAGCTGGCTCTTCACCTCAGAAAATTGATCATAATATAGTGGAACCTCAGGTTATATTTTTTTTTACTACTTATGAGCATAACTGTCGAATTAAATGCAGGGATAAAAATATTATAAAGGCTAGTTATCTGACCTTTGGTGTTTTGTTGTTTGATCTGTGCAAGTCTCTAGTTTTCTGGTTAAATCTGGCTGTAACTATAGTCTGTTTTCTGTAAAGGCATTTGTGTACTGTATGTACATCATTGATTATTATTATTATTGCTCTTGCTTCATTTTTTCCCAGAAAGAAGAGTCCTCTCTCTGCTCTTTTCCTTCCTCCTAGTCATATTTTTAGTAATATTTTTGATCTATTTTGAACTGTTTTCAACGGACAAACATACACATTTTAGCCAAACCCAAATGGAAACCCCTTACAATTATTGATGCTTTCCATTGGTTTTGTTCTACCTCCATTTAGTTGTTGACAAAATGACAGCACGTTTTATATCAACGAAGGATTTCTGTGATGGAAACGCTTAAATCATTAATTTAGAACCTGACCAAAGTCAAAGTCCTCATTCCACTGTTTATTAGAACCGATGTCTAACTGAAGAGATGTTCAGGGGCACGGGGAAAAAAACGCTGACGATTTCAAAGCCTTTTTCCAGAGTTTGTCACTGTAAGAACTTCAGTCAGATATAAAAAAGCACACATATTGTACTAATGAGCCATATTGCAGTGCAGTAGTGAGTATTTGCTAATTGCTATGCCAAACCAAAGCAGATGGCATTGCACTATTATCTGGTTATGAGTGCTTAAAACTAATATGAAAGCTGAACATTTGCTAAACAGATGCATGAGAAATGCTCTCTGCTCCGCCATAACGACGAACACCCCCCCCCCGTCCCTATCCCCGCACCCCGCTACTGTCATCAACCTTTGTTCATTTCAACACTTTATGCTCTGCAATTACAAAATTGTGGTCAAATGTTTTCCATCACAAGTAAGTGAGCCATCGCGGCCCTCCTGCTCACAGTAAATCTGCATAAAATTGACCATTAGCTGTTTCCTCTCAGTTGCTGCTTACACAGTGAAGGCAGCTAAGGTAATACTGTGGCTTTATCAATCAGTCGGCCCTTTTGCAAGCATAGACAGAAAACTAAAGACTCTCGTCTCTCTCTGCCCACTTCTACATGGAACGTGATGAATGCTTTTTGCAAGCGTTGACAAGTTTTACCATAGAGGTGCTAACAGCAGGAGAAAC